CTAGATGGGGCAGGAATGTGGACCCCCAGAAAATGCTGCTCTTCTGACGCACCTCGCCCTGACCAGATGTGGGGGTGCCAGTGATGAGAGTAGGATGGAGGGGTTGGAGGACCCTAAGACTGGGGAAAGCGAGGGACCCGGGCATTTCAGCCCCTCCAGAGTCTGCTCAGTGCAGGGCTGGGAATCCAGCATGGGATTTAGTTGTGGTCCATGCAGAGGGATGGTGAAGGCTGCATGCCAGGATGTATGTGTGGTGGCGGGGGGGGGTGGGGGTGGTTCTTTTCCTCCAGGCCTCTGTCCCAAAGCCTCAAATGGACCACCTGCTTCCTTGTCCCAGGGGGACGGCTTCAGCCTCAGAATCCGACAGCTGGGGTCCCAATTTAATTCTTGAGCGTTTCTGTAAGAAATGAGGCTGACTCAGAGTAGGCTTCAATATATGTGAACTGAATGAGGGATGTGTGTAGTGTTTCTCGCTCATTCTGGATCCCTCTGGGATCGGTTATGTTTGGTTGACTATGCCAGCCCCTGGCAGCTGCCTTGTCTTGCCTTGTTACCACCCTGGTGACAGCCACGTTAACTGTCCCCACCAAGTGCATGACCAGAGAACCAGACTAAGCTAGGAGAAATATGGAGGTGGCTGTCATATATTATTCATAGATCAGTGAGTCTTGCCAGACAGGAAGAATGTGGGAGATTAAAAAATAATAATATTGCTTAATTTAATCCAATCAAGTGGTAAAAGCCCCTGGGTTGGAGGAGATAGAGAGGATTAGGTTTGTGAAACTTGGATTGTGGGTGGAGAGACCAGTCCAGTCAGAGGGCATGAGCTACCACCCCTCAGCAGCACAAGAGAATGCTATCTTCTATTTTGGCAAAACAACAAAAAAAGCTGTCCTCATTTCAGTCCACTGATATGGAAACTCCAGCCTGCTTGGGATAAGTCAAGTTACCTGCAGTGGTATGACTCTTTTCTCCTTGGTAAGTGGCTTTTAAGCCCGAGAAGATTAGAATTTAAAATACACAGGTGATGAAAAACACAAAAACCCATAGTATTTGTACCTTTTTGTCAAGTTTAAGTTGGGTCAAGTTCTGCATGTTGGTGTATAAAATCCTGTATTTTAGTGTTTAAGAATTTTTGGTCACTAGAGTATCTCATGTTTGTGATTAAGTAATTGACTCCAGTTGAAATTTTAACCTAAAAAATTAAGAGAATTTGGCAAAAAAAAGAATTTGGCAATGTCTGTAAACATGATCAAACTACTTAAGAGAATTTAATATTCGTTTTGTTTATGTTAGTTTTTTAGATCTGTAAGAATTCTTTTAAATCCTTGGTAAGGTTGTGTTTCTTAGAGGTATTTGAGGCATTTATAAGACAATCAAGTACATTGAATTTATGAATGTAGTGTCTGAAAGAAGGCATGGCAACCCATTCCAGTTTTCTTGCCTGGAGAATCCCAAGGATGGAGGAGCCTTCCAGGCTACAGTCCATGGGGTTGCAAGAGTTGGACATAATTGAAGTGACTTACACGCACACAGGCATAAATGCAGTGTAGAATATCTAAGGCAGTGATCTCCAATATAAATGTAATATGAGTTCCATACATCATTTTAAATTTTCTATCAGCCACATTTTTAAAAAGGAATAGGTAAGCTTAATTATAACAGTAGTACTTTTACCTAACATATCTAAAATATTTTCATTTCAATGTGTAATTAATATAAAAGTTATTAATGAGTTATTTTACATTCTTTCTCTGAACAAATCTCTAAACTCTGCTGTGTATCTTACATTCCTAACACATCTCCCTTTGGACGACCACATTCCAAATGGCACATTGTAGTGGCAGCTAAATTAGACGTCACAGATCTAAGGGAATTAAATCAGCTACATTTGTAAGTGGTATTTATTATTTAAGGAGGCTTACTCTGTTCAACCTGACTTGCTGAAATATTAATCAAAGAGTCCTTGAGAGCCGTTGTTTAAAAGCTACTGGACTTATAAAGAAAATGAAGTCTGTGTATATACAAGACAAGGAAATAATAGATTTTTTAAAAATTTGTTAATTTAAGAAACTATTTTTTAAAGTGACCACATATAGCTATTTCAAGTGCACAGCAGCAGCCCTTGAGGACCTCGCCAAACACAGTCCAGATGGAATTTGAGTCACTGGCTTCGGCTCGGCCCCGGCAGGAATGGCTGGGCTCTTTGTTCCTGCATCTCTCATCTCTCGTAGCATCAGATCTGATGGAGGCCTTAAGGGCTGTCTGTCCAAGCTCCCTGTTCCACAGAAACTGAGGTCCAGAGTTAAGAAGTCCCACTACAAGGTGACTGAGATGCAGGGTGGCAGGGATCCGATGGCCTCCTGACTCCCCCACTCACCCCTCCAAAACTCCCCAGTCAGGGGTTTCTGGCTCCTTCTCTCCACCTCTCCATCCCCCCCACCCCCGGCTGATCTGGAAACTGAGGCAGAACTGGAGGGCAGGTGGACCAACAGGTCCCCAGCTCAGGCCTCTAGGGATCACCAGGGGAGAATTGGGAAACATGTGTCTCTAGACCCTGATCCCTGCCCTGGTCACTCATCAGGACAGACCAAGACCTGCTGAGAGGCCAACCCAGAATCCAGGCCAGCCTGACCAGAGAAACTGCAGTGCAAGGCCCAGGATGGAGCCTGGAGCTGGGACTGCAAAGGGGAGAAGGACAGGGGAGGCCAACCCAACGCCCAAGGGCCATGACCAGGTCCACCACGACACAAGAGAGCCAGACTCCACGTGCCACATACCTGGTAAGCCGCCCAGGCCACATGCAGCCATGGGGGCAAAGCCTGGAACTTCTTCATGGACCTCATCCTCCCAGCTCCCCTTCCTTCCTCCCTCTTCTCCGATGTTTTTCTTTCTTTGCTTTTCTCAAGTTCCCTTCTGCACGAGTGCCCCTATTGCCAGGTCATATTTCCAAGAACTAAGATCTATACCGCTGGGCACCCTTAGGAGGGTTGAAGGGAGCAGCATTTAATGCCATTCAATCACAGAGCAAGGAAAATATTCCCGCCTAAAGGGCCTTCTCCTTGAGTAGGAAATGGCAACCCACTCCAGTATTCTTGCCTGGGAAGTCCCCCAGACAGAGAAGCCTGGCGGGCTACAGTCTATGGGGTCACGAAGACTGAGCACAAGACAAAAATCACAGTTTGGAGGCAGGATGTCTTTATCACCTCCTCATCTCCCCTTTAACAAAGAGGGCTGGCTTTGGGCTCAAGGGCCGTTACATTGTTTTAACTGTTTGCTAACAAGTGATAAGAACTGGTTTTCACCGCGATATATTTTTATGCTTATCTTTACCTTTTATTTGTGGCAAATGATGTCAGTTTTCCATGTGTAAATTGTGACATAAAGTTTCCTTTCAAAACTGAACTTGTATTAGTAACAAGTGAGTCAACTGAGTATAAATGCAGTTTTGAATACATGAGGTAACTATCCTGAGAGTGGAGTGGGCCAGGCAGAGCCAAGGAGAAGCTTAGGGAACAGGCCCCGGCTGCCCCTCCACTCCACCTTCCTCGGCTCTGCCCAGCCCGGCTTCCTACCTCCATTCAGACACCATGCAAGGCCTGATCCCAGGGCCTGCAGGTCTTTCAGACCCAGAGCTGAAGCCGGCCGCTCATGAGAAACAGAGGATAGAGATGCAGAGTGAGGGGCCCACTCCCGGACCATCTGTCTGTCCAGCTCGGGGGCAGAAAGTGGCAGAGCTCCGGAAGCTCGTGGTAGAGTGAGAACAGGCAAGGCCTCTCTTCCGGCCACTCATATAGTGCCAAAGTCACACCCATACCCACTCCTACAGCTAATCGGATTTTCCTGAAGCAGTCTGAAGTCAGAAAGCTGGAAGCACATGCCTCTAGACAGATGGAGGCAGAGAGAAGAGCCTTCCATAGCTCCCCAGATGCTCCAGGCTTCCCGACGGCACCTTCCACGGTCTTCCTCACATCAAACTGAAAGCACTTAGCATCTCTACTGCCAAGTAGACCCAGACTTCTGGGCCCAGAATTCTGTTTCCATCCCCATCTCCTTACCCTCCAGACATGAGGGCCCAGAGCAGGACCTCTGCCACCTTGAACCCCACCCTCCTCAGGGGGCCAACAAGCATCCGATGAGCACAGCCCAATGCCCAAACCTTTCCGCCATCTCATGCCTGGCCCAGGTCACTCCAGGCGGTGCCTTGGTCCTCATGAGGGCCTCAGGATCAGAAAGGAGCTGGCTCTCCAGAGGTTTTCTGTTCATTTGTGCCCTAAACCAGGAGTCCTCAACCTCCGGGATCTAAATGCCTGATGATCCGAGGTAGAGTTGATGTAATAATAATAGAAATAAAGTGCCCAGTAAATAGAATGTGTTTGAATCATTCTGAAACCATCCCACCCCCACCTTGGTTGGTGGAAAAAAAATGTCTTCCACAAAACTGGTCCTTGGCACCCAACAGGTTGAGGACCACTGCCCTAAACTACCCCCGGTGGAATCACCAGTGACCAACTGTCCCCTACTCTGCTTGGCTTCCCCGAATTTTGTTACAGGACAACTCTACCATGCGCAGTACAAGCCTGGTGAACCCAGAGCCTCAGCTTTGGGGTTGAAAACACAATCATCAGTGAGCCTGCTTCTCTGGAAGGAAAACCATTCCTTCCTGAAAGTTGGCAAGAAATCTTTAGCCTATGGATGGGAGGTGTCTCCTTCCTCAGACACTCAGACATCGATAACAAACTTGCATGCTACCCACATTATCTAACCCTCAGGGATCCTCTTAGCACTGTCCAGGCACAGCCCCAGTCCATCACAGGGGTGCCTGTACCCTCCCTGGGCCCCGAATGCTGTTGACACAGCTGGGGACCATCCTCATACCAGACTGTAGTCTAGCTAGAAGGCTCCAGAAATGTGAGCATGAGAAAACAGCCAGAAAGGGGGCCTGGCGGGCAGGTCCCAGGCCCTCCCACAGGAGCGGCAGGAGGTGAGGAGGGGGCTACCTGAGAGAGCTGCCGTCAGCAATCCAGCAACCACGAAGAAGAGCGCCATGTCTGCCGCCATCTCCGACCGCTATGCGTGCCTGCCAGTGGGAAGCACCATCCCAGGGCCAGGAGGTGGACAGGCCGCTGAGGGCCCCTCGCAGCTGCTCGGCCCCTGGCTGCTCCTGTCTGTAACTCCTTCTCTGCAGGAGACAGCACCCTGTGCACGCATGCGGCCAAGCCCAGCCTGCGAGTGTCTCTCACGCCTCTGTGCTCTACTTGTGGTTTCGGTCTCCAGGAAGCCAGGCTGGTAATATGGGTGAGGAGAGCCCAGCTGCCTCTACTTCAAGGCCACCACGACTGGCTAAACCCTAAGAGTCTCAGAGTGAGACACACACACGCCCCAGGGGCCCAAGGGTCTCCTGAGGAAGAGGGGAGCAGAGCGGGGCAAGCCTTATTTCTGGAGACCTGGTACATAGTAAGTAGACGCTCCATCCATACATGTGCAAAGAGTGAAGGAGCGACCCAGTTCCGTCCTAGTCCATGAGCCCTGGCTCTCATGGAATTGAATCCCACACTTTCCCTTGTTCTCAGGTGCCATGATGAATGGGAAGGAGAGTGTAGCTTTGCATTTTCAAGATGGAGAGACTCCGCCTCTGCTTGAATATCGTAAACCAGAACAGTCCTGAGAGATGGTTTTCCCCCACCTCCTTCTGCAAGCTGGAGCCACCCCCGGAGATGGCACAGAAGGCTCCAGTCCCCCCATACCGCTGGGTCCCATTTATTCCTCTGTGGGAGGCAGGCGCAGGAGCTGGACCCAGAAGGATGAGCAGGTTTTCAACAGGCAGCCATGTGTGGAGGCCACTGGGCCTTGAGGAAGGCCAGGAGCTGAGGGGCAGGGGGCTTTGCGGGGGCTGAGGTGGGACGCCCAGGGTTTTTGGGGAAGTGCTGAGTTGTCCAGTTGGGCTGCAGAGAACGCTCCAAAGGAGGCAGAGACCAAGCCCAAATGTAATTAACTCACCATTGTGCTCCCTAGGGGGTCTACATGCACGCTAAGTCATTTCATTTGTGTCCGACTCTATGTGACTCTATGGACTTTCGCCCACCAGGCTCCTTTGTCAATGGGATTCTTCAAGCAAGAATACTGGAGTGGGGTGCCATGACCTCCTCCAGGGTATCTTTTCAAACCAGGGATTGAACCTGCGTCTCTTGTGTCTCCTGCATTTTCTCCTGCATTTTCAGGCAGGTTCTTTACCACTAGTGTCACCCAGGAAGCCCAGGGGACCTACAGCTAATGCCAAATAAACGTTGTTGAGTCAACGAAGGAACCACTCACTTAATCCGTGCATCCAAACAGAACCCATGAAGAAGTTGAGTCCAAGTCCAGGGGAGTCTGGTTCTCTCCTGACCCTTCCCTGATACGACTCCATCTCAAATTCACGAAGCCTGGCCTGACACTTCCCTCATCCTCACTTGTTTTCATCTCTCTACCCGTGGAACGGGGAGAGGACATCCGAATTTGCAGGTTGTAGAGCCACAGGGAACCCGGTCCCCCGGGTAAACTCTGCCCACCCCACCAGGTGGATGACGTTCTGGCACCAGCTGAGGCTGCCCTCTTGTGGAAAGTGCTGGTAGTGCATACAGCAGATAACCCTCCCACTTCCATTTTCAGCTCCAATAAGGAACACTTAGTGAGACCCCTTTTGGAGGAAGAGATGAAACCATAACCCTGCCCTCAAAGACCGGGTAGTTCACAAACACAGGTGACCAACCGCGGATCAGGATAGGATGAGCACAGTGGGCGGTCTGCTGATAAGCAGCATCCTGAGAGACATGTTTGTTTGGGCAGGAAAGATGGTTAGGCTTCCCTTATAGGAGATGGTAAGTGCTGGAAAGTTCTCCTGAAACAAAACCCACACAAAAACATACACAAAAGCTGGATTAAAATATTATAAAGCCGGGGTCCCCAGCCTCTAGGCCACCTCCTGTCAGATCAGTGGCAGCCTTAGATTAGAAATAAAGTGCATAAAAAATGTAATGTGCTCAAATTATCCCAAAACCATTCCCTCTGCCAGATCAATGAAAAATTGTCTTCTACAAAAATGGTCCCTGGTGCCAAAAAGGTTTAGGGATGCGTGCATGCATGCATGCTCAGTCATATCCGACTCTGGGATCCCATGGACTGTAGCCCGCCAGGCTTCTCTGTTCATGGGGTTTCCCAAGCAAGAATACTAGAGTAGGTTGCCATTTCCTCCTCCAGGGGATCTTCCAGACCCAGGGATCAAACTCGCATCACCTGCATTGCAGGTGGATGCTTTACTGTTGAGCCACTGGGAAGAAAAGAATTTGAGGGATCACTGTATAAAGCATCTTTAGAAAAGTCTAGCAGAGGTGCCAGGAAATTAAGGTTAATTGTTGGAGTTCAGAAGTGACTAAAAGCACAAATCCAAAGAGATCGCTGAGAGCAGAAGGTTATCTGAGGTACCTGCTGATCCCAAGTGGCCAAGAACTTCAGGTTAAAGGGACAAAACCTAGAGCTTGAGCAAAGAATAAAATAGAATCAGGAAACTCCTGTTCAAGGCAAAACAGTGAACAACACCCACAGTGGATGACCCTGGAGAGAAAAACCTCCAGAAGGGAGCTGGTACAGAATTCGTTCGGCTCAGCCTTGACTTGAGTAGGAGAAAGAAGAACATCAACCCTGAATTTAAAAAAACAGGAGAATTTTAAGAAAGCAGATAGTTGCTCCTTAGGTACTTGGGAGAAACAAATGGGAAAATCCTCTCTGGAGTAACTCAGCTTACTCAGTAACTCAGTAACTCAGGCCTCAAAGAATCCCCATCAAAAAGGTTCACAGAAACAGGAGTACATGTGCAAAAAAAAAAAACAAAAAAAACATAAAATTCAAAACACAGGGGTATTGGTCAGGATTCTTTAGAGAAACAGAAGGAGTAGAATATGATTTATTATAAGGATTGCCTCATGTGATTTTGGAGGCTAAGAAGTCCCAAGATCTCAGTTGGCAACTGGAGATTCAGGAGAGCTGGTGATGAACTTCTAGTCTAAGTCTGCAGACCTAAGAACCAACAGAGCTGATGATGTAAGGCCCAGTCTGAGTCCAGGTCCAAAGGCAGGATGAGATCAGTGTCCCAGCTCAAAGAAAGGCAGAGAGAGATACACTCTCTTACTCGGCCCTTCTCTTCCATTTAGACTTTCAGTGGATTGGATGAGGGCCCCCTACATGGGGGACGGCAACCTGCTTCACTCAGTCTACTGATGCAAATGTGAATCTTATCCAGAAACACCCTCACAGACACACCTAGAATAATTTTTAACCAAATATCTGAACATATGGCCCAGTCCAGTTGACACATAAAATTAACCATCACAACAAGGCATTTTAAGTGAGAATTACACATGTCAATAAATAATAAACTTTCAAAAGCTTTGGATATTGGAATTATGGTATACATAATAAAAAATAAGGATATTTCATATGCTTAAAGAAATAAAAATTAGTAATCAATGGTATAAATGAGGAAGGAGACTATTTTATTTTTGTTGTTGTTGCTATTTTTTTTACCTTTCCACCTCTGCTTTGTTGCTAAGCACTTCAGATAGACAGGGACCCCACCTTACCACCAGGCCCCTGGACTGATACAGTCAGGGTCTCTGGCCATGTCACTGATGGTCTTATAGGGAGAAGTAAATCTGGAGGTTTGGACTTCCCCAAAAGAACTAGGAGAGAAGGGGCAGAAACCTGGAGAATACTTAGGACCAAAGATGGAGCTCAGGCTGAGGCTGGACCCAGGGCTAAGCTGGTCCGTAGGTTTGGGCCACCTCTTCAGCCCCACTCAGCGCCCAGTTCCTCCCTAGACTGTGCCACACAGAATCTGCGAGAAGGAACATTTCAACCTCACACTTTATCCTGAAAAGCAGAATGAGACTATTTCAAATGACTAGGAAGATTTGAAAAACAAATATAATACCTCTATATTGGAAAAATATGATCTTCAAGACTAGCAATCCAAAGGACAGATTAAACATCAGAATAGCATAGCTCCAGAGAGTACTCGTGAGCTGGACATATATCTGAAGAATTTACGAAAAATCCAGCACAGAGAGACAAACAGTGGAAAATATGAAACAAAAGTTAAGAGATATAGAAGATGGAACAAGGACTTAAATAGATCTAAATGGAAGATTTTCAGAATTCATGAAAGACACAGTCCTCAGATCCTGGAAGCTCCCTAGCCCATGAATAATAAATAAAAAGAAATACACACCAACACCTATGGTAGCAAAACAGCTAATACCTGTAGAGAAGACGATCTATAAAGTAGACAGACAACTAACCTCTTAATATCAATAATTGAAGCCAGAGGACAGTGGAATAACATCTCAAAATGCTGAGAGAAAATAACTGTCCAGATTGAATATGTTTCAGATACATTTTCAGATTAAAAATTGAGAGCATTTCTAACTGATGCTCACATAGGGAAATTCTAAAAGATGTCCTTTTAGAATTATGGACAAGGAAAATAATCTTGGAAGGAAAGCATAAGATTCAAATAGGAATTGTGATCAAAGGAATATGTGAACACGGACATAAATAAGCATCGATGATATAAAATAATTGTAAGAATGTCTAATTTGTTGGATTAGGAAAAAACAAGATAAAAAAGAAGCAGGAAATAATAACAAAGGAATCAGTAAGGAGCAATCAGTTTAAAAAGGCCTGTCATTTGCAAGAACACAAAATTTTGACTGGCTTTTAACTTTGTTAAAGTAAATGTGCATGTTAAATTAGTGGAACGATTAGCAGAGAAAGCCCTACACAAAAACCAAGAAAGGAAAGAAAAAAAGTCAAATAAGAAAGGCAGGACACACAGGATGGGTAAGTTTCAGCAGACAGAAACAGGTATAGGGTGCTCCTGGCAGAAGGCACAGTGTAAGAAGAGGCAGGACCAGATGGCGGAAGCATCACTGGGAACTGATATGATACACCAGAAGCAGCCTGTGTTTTGTGGACACAAAATTTCAGGAAGCTGGAAGCTATACAAGCTCGGGGCCCAAAGCCATGTGCTCATTTTTATAACTCTGGGAGCCAGGACTTTTTTAAATTAATCTTTTCCTTTTTAAAAAAATTATTTTAAATTG